AGAATGATGGAACTTGGAGGATGTGTATCATCTATTCCTAGGATAGACGATATGCTAGATGAATTACATGGATTATACATATTTAGTAAAATTGATCTTAAAAGTGGTTATCATAAAATTAGGATGAAGGAAAGAGATAAACGGAAAGCCGCTTTTAAAACTAAATATGGGTTGTATTTGTAGTTAATTATGCCATTTGGACTTAGTACTACACCTAGCACATTTATGAGGTTAATGAATAATGTTTTACTTTCATTCATAGGTAAATTCGTAGTAGTTTACTTTGATGACATATTGGTATATAGTAAGGATCTAAATGAACATATAGGGCATTTAAAATGTGTGCTTGTAGTCTTAAGACAATAACAACTTTATGCTAATTTTAAAAAATGCACGTTTTGCATGGAAGAGTTTGTTTTCCTTGGTTATGTCGTTAGTGCTAAAAGTATTGAAGTGGATGTGGAGAAAATCAAAGCCATTAAAGAGTGGCCAACACCTAAAAGTAGAACTAAAGTAAGAAGCTTCCATGGGTTAGATAGTTTCTATAGGTGTTTTGTAAAAGATTTTAGCACACTCGCCACACTACTTACGAAAATTATAAAGAAAAGTGTAGGATTTCATTGGGGGTATTGAACAAGAACATGCTTTTAATACTATTAAAAGGTTGTGTACCGCACCGATTTTATCATTACATAACTTTAACAATACTTTTGAAATTGAATGTAATGCCTCAGAAATAGGTATTTGAGTGTCTTAATGCAAGAACGAAGACCAATAGCTTACTTTAGTGAAAAGCTAAGTGGAACAGCTCTCAATTATCCTACATATGACAAGGAGTTGTATGCACTTGTTCGAGCTTTGGAGACATGGCAGCACTACATGTGGCCAAAGGAGTTTGTGATTCACACTGACCATGAGTCTTTGAAGCACTTAAGGGGTCAATGTAAGCTAAACAGGAGACATGCAAGGTGGATAGAGTTCATCGAGACATTTTCATTTGTTATTCGATATAAACAAGGTAAAGAAAATTTGGTGACGGATGCATTATCAAGGAGGTACATACTTCTAACGTCTTTAGATACTAAGTTGTTAGGATTTAAATATGTTAAGAACATATATGTTAATGATCCAGATTTTTCTAATATGTATGAATCATGTGATAAAGGTGCTATTGATAGATTCTTTAGGCATGATAGGTATTTATTTAGGGAAAATAAGTTATACGATCCTACATGTTCACTAAGAGAATTATTAATACGTGAGGCACATAGTGGTGGTCTAATGGGTCATTTTGGGGTAAAGAAGATCTTAGAGCTGCTAAGTGAACATTTTTATTGGCCTAAAATTAAGGTTGACGTTGATTAGGGTTGTAGTAGATACACCACTTGTAAAAAGGCAAAATCTAAGGTTTTACCACGGGGTTTATATACACTATTACCTGTTCATAGTGAAACTTGGGTAGATGTGTCTATGAATTTTGTGTTGGGTATACCTAGGACTAAGAAATGAAGTGATTCTATATTTGTCGTGATAGATAAATTTAGTAAGATGGCACATTTCATTCAATGTCATAAAATCAATTATGCTACCAATATAGCGGATCTATTCTTTAACGAAGTAGTGCGCTTACATGGGATTTCTAGAAGTATTGTATCGAATAGAGATGTTAAATTCCTTAGTCATTTTTGGAGAATTTTGAGTAATAAGCTAGGAACAAAGCTACTGTTTTCTACTACCTATCACCCACAAACAGATGGGCAAATTGAGTTAGCTAATAGGACTATGATACAATTGTTACGCACCATAGTTAATAAGAATTTAAAGAGTTTGGAGGATTTCTTTCCATTTATATAATTTGCATATAATAGGGCCACACATTCTACTACTCTTTCTCACCTTTTGAAATTGTATACGGTTTTAATACACTAGAACCTTTGGATTTAATTCATTTACCTGTAACACCTTTGGATTTAATTCATTTACCTGTGAATGAAAGGGGTAGTTTAGATGGAAATAAGAAGGCCAATTTGGTAAAATCACTCCATAAAAAGGTAAGGTTGCAAATTGAGAAGAAAAATGAGCACAATTTCTCCTAAGTAAACAAGGGATGAAAGCGCGTTACATTTGAACCAGTAGATTGGATTTTGGTGCACTTGAGGGAATAGTATTGTCCAAAACAAAGAAAGTCAAAGTTGCAGCCACGGGGAGATGGTCCATTCAAAGTCTTTGAAAAGATCAATGACAATGTTAACAAATTAGATATTCCATGCGAGTATAATGTTTCAACTACCTTTAATGTTTATGATCTTTCTCTCTTTGATGCAAGTACGGATTCGAGAATGAATCCTTTCGAAGAGGAAGGGGATGATATAATCCATGATACGAGAACGAGTCCGGGCAAAGATCCATTGATCGTTGAGGGAGGACCGATGAATAGGTTGCAAGTGAAACAAGTCAAGGAAGCTATGGAATTGCTTGCTCAAGCTACAGTGAACGAAACGTCTATCACAACAAGTAATGGAACAAGTTTCATGTTGGGTTCGGAAGAAGAAACCAAATGGATCAACTTGGTTCAAACAGCGGATCAGAAAGCTCTTCCAAGAAGCTCTGCGACCGCATAGCATAAACACGCATGTGGCCGCATGCCTCTATACCAAAACCAAAGGGGGGCTTTTTCAATTGATCTATGCGACCGCATATAGTTACACTATGCGGCTGCATAGTTCATTTCGGGTGCGGATTGTTTCAATTTTTATGTAATCTTCTATTTAAGTTAAAACTCTTGTATGATATATTTTTGACATATTTAGGACTTAAATTCCGTTTCTTGCTAGCTTTTAGGGATTCCTTATAAATAGTAACATTATTTTTCACTGTAAGACAAACAGTTATTGAGATATTATCGCGAGACTAATTTGTTTTCTTCTCATTCTTCATTCAATTAATTTTGAACTTATCAAGAATTAATTTCTTGTAGCGTTCTACAAATTTAAGTAAGGATCATAAGTTTTGTGATCACGGGGTTAAGATATCATTAGCAATTATCTTAGTTCTTTGAATTCAATAATTTATTGGTCTAGCTTTCAAACGTTGATTCTTGGGATTGTTCTAATTTGTCGTGGGTTCCATGACTACAATTGCTACATGAGTTTGCATCAATTTCTTTGTATTATCTCTCTGATGAGATGATACCGCCTAACACATATTTGAATTATTGATAAGACCTTAATTCTGTCGCTTGTGCGATGTCTTCATTGTTATCACAATACAAAGGTATGTGATCAACAATGTTAGGAATTGCTCCAAGTTCATTAATGAACTTCTTAATCCATATCACAACTCTTTGCTGCTTCTGAAGGTTTCTATTATTGAATCAATAATTGTTTCATGTTTGGAACATTTTCAACTAACCGCTCAATTATTAAGAGTAAACCACATCTTGATTGAGATTCGCTATAATTCCAGTCCGGCTAGAAGTTAACATCAGTGTATCTATGGACTCTTAGTTCATTTTTTCATATAAAATCTTCTCAAAATTTTATCTATGTAGATTGGAATGAGTTAAACAATCTTTTAGATCTATTTCAATAGATCAAATTGCTTCTCTCATATCTTGTATGAAGATATTATTTGACAACCATAATTTCAACAATTGAAATACAGGGACATCGTTTTCTATTAATCACCTCTAGCAGTTATTGACATGGGTCTACATATATTAGTATGTATTAGCCCCAACAATCATACAACTCTTTCTCCTTTTCTAGTAAAATGAAATTTGATCATCTTACCTAATAGACATTATTCCCATTTTTTAAAATTTGACCCCAAGTATCCATCTCTATGTAACTTGAAAATGCGTTTTTCATTTATATGACATACTCTGCAATGCCAAAGATAGGTATTATTTTAATCATCATTTTTATGCTTTCAATTTCTCTACTCATTATAGAATACTCAATATTTAGAATATAAATGTCATTTTGTAATTTACCATAAC